GTCTGGACAAGTCTTGTTGAGGTTCCCTGAGTGCTCCCAGCAGGCACTGGGTCCTGCCCTCCCGGGCCGGCAGCCAGGGGGACACTTCGGCTCCCCGGGGAGCCCTCCTGCCCCAGGTGGCTCCGCACACCTGAGCCCCACCCGACTCACCTCCCTCCCGTTCCGTTCCGCCGTGTCCTCCAGATGATGCTGCCCTGGTGGAGTTACAGCAGGAGCTGGAAGCCGTGGGGGACCGCCTCCGCTCGCCAAGTAGGTCTCTGTCGGTTCCCAACAGGCTGCCTCTGGGAATGGCTGCGCACCTCCCCCTCCTGCACCAGCGGCTCCGCGTCACCTCCCGGCCTCCGGGCCCACGTGCGCCCTGCCCTCCGCCCTCCGCCCGCCTTGGGCCTCTTGTTGTCTTAAATCCCTGACATTTGAAACGGGAGGTGCAGTCGGCGATCCTTTGTGAGGCCGTCCCGGTCCTCCTGTGGCTGTGCTCTGCTTCTAGCTGCTTCTAGCTGCTTCCGCGGAGAATGGCAAACTGGGGCTCGGCCAAGAGAGGGCGCTTTTCAGCTTCTCCTGCAGCCCCGCAGTGTCTTCCAGAATCTTCTCCCCTTGAGTGTTGGCTCCCAGCACTGCCTCGGACCTGCAGACACGCTCCTCCCAGCCAGGCCCCCAGGAGAGGGTCCTCCTGGCCCCTCAGAACACAGTGCTTTTCCCACCAGCCTGTCCTCAGTACCTGATACAGTTGGGACGTGCTTCTCATCAGTTGCTAGTTCCCTTTGCTGTTTACTGCCCCCCTGCGCCCCCCAAATTGTGGCCATTAGACCTGGATTTTGCTAAGACTTTACTTTCAGAATCGGGTTCAACTTGGCTTATGTCGCAATAATAATCAATGGCCAGCTAGTTGATACTCAGAAAATAAAATATAAACAAAAATTTTAAATGCTATATATTTCTGTGGGAAACGTATAAAAATAGGTCAATATAAAAAAGAAGTAAATTCTTAATTTCACTTGATTACCTAGAGATAATAGCTGTGAATCACAAGACTTCCAGCCTTTCTCCAATTATGCATCGCGACATCCGCAGGCAATTTCTTATTTCCATGTTTTTTACAAAGTTGGTAACCTTCTTGTTTGGTCATTTGCCCTTCACCTATGTCTGTGTCGTTACGTGTTGTTCTGGAACGTGTCCTGTTAATGGCTGCACGTGTAATTCAGCGTAGAGTATCCCCTGCTTTGGGATTTTTTCCGATTTTTGCCCACAGCACATTTTAAAAGTTTGGTCCCCGTCACAATGGTGTATTCTAAACCGCCCAAAGCGACCGGACCTCTACACCACGTGCGAGTCCCCCAGGACTTTAGGTTCACGTTTACATTGACAGTGACATGGAATAATGCTTTCCCAGAGAACCTGTGTCCACAGAGGAGCTGTTAGAGGGGAAATCAGGGCGCTGTGGCCTCTGGATGCCCACAGCCCAGCACGCAGCCCCTCACTGCCCTGCACCGCTGCCTCGCTCTCCGCCGCCGCGGCTTGGCCGGGACGCATTGGCGCGTCACTGAGGTTAAGACTCTGCCTTGTTGGTTCTCACAGCAGGCCTCATGGTGAAGAAGTCGGCCTCGGACGTGTCCATCTCCGGCACCCACGGCCAGTACTCGGTCTTGCCGACGGCGAAGCTGCTGCCGGGCGCGCCTCAGCAGGTGGTGAGTCGCTGTGCGTGCGGCTCGCAGGGAAGCGGGGACGGGTCAGATCCCAGGGGTTGGCCTGTGGTTCGTCCTCGGCCCCTCCTCTCACCCGGGCTCACTCCCGTTCAGCACATACATCGATTTCTACCTCTCTAACCCTCTAACTGCCCACCGACTCACCCCAAAACCCCATAACTTAGTAGCATGTTTTTTATGGGCTTTTAAATGGTCATGCAGGGCACGGGAGAGAAATCACGTTGATGAAAAATCCAAGTGTCCTGTGTGGTGGGATTGTGGTGTGCAGAGCAGTGCGTGGTAGAAGGGAAAGTAGGAGACATTCCGATCCATTGCTGGACAAAATTATGATGACTCTGGGGTGAAGGTAGCGGAGAGAAGAGGCGAAACCAGATCCAATGGCCTAAATAACGCGGGAGGGGCACTAGGAATAGGAACAGTTCTGGAGGGTGGAGAGGTGGCGTTCCAGAGGAGGCTCAGGGCTGCTAGAGATGGTAGGTGGAGGTCGGTGGAGTCGAGGCGAGGAAGGAGGGAGGAGGCCTGGGTGCTGGGTGGAAGCTACTGGGTCCCAGGACAGGGACAGAGGGGAGGCCCAGTGCCCATGCGGTCCCAGCAGGGGGTTCACAGGCATGAAGGCAGGTCAGCAAAGGGGACCTTGTGGTTTAAGCGGGTGAAGAGGTAGAAGAGGCACTGTGAAGTAAACAGGTCTGGAAGGTGTTTAATAACTCAGCTGGGCCGTAAAATGCCTTCTGATGGGCTTCTGGCTCTTTCCTGGTATCGAAAGGTTAGAGGATGGCTTGTCCACGTTGCAAAAACCGGGGAGGGTCCCTGCTCGCACACTGTCGCGTTCCTCCTCTTGGTAGCACCGCTCCGGGGAAGGGGCTTGAGGATGCGGTCAGAGGACTGTGTGTTCATCACCCTGGCGGCCCAGGTGCAGATCAGTGGGCGGACGGGGAGCTGGCCGGTGCGGGGCTTCCTGCCTGTGTCAGTAACGCTTCTCTTCCTCATCTGCCCTCAAGCCCAAGGCCAGGACGGGCATCAGCAAGCCTTACAATGTCAAGCAGATCAAAACCACCAACGCCCGGGAGGCGGAGGCCGCCATCCGGTGTCTGCTGGAGGCCAGAGGCGGTAGGTGCTCCCGGGGCCTCCTCCCGCCGGGGAGCTCCTGTTCTCCTTTTCATCTTCCTGCTAAACGGGGCCGAGAGGAGAAAATAATTCTTTCCTAAAGGCTGTATTACACGAAAGCTCCCATTAGCGACATTTTGTAGAATTCCACTACTAAGATGCACTGTCCATTTGAAGTTATATATTTAAAATTCAGTAAATATATAAAAAGAATCCCAGGGTTGTAAAGAAGTACTTAAGGGAGAGATGGACATAAACAAAAATGAATGTTGGAAAAGGTTAGTGCTCCAGGCGCTAACCCATCCTGCTTGAAGAAGGGGGGTGAGGTCCACATCCCTGTTCCGGACACAAAACCCACCTTTTAAATCACCAGCAACTGTAGGTTCTTTGATGTCAAAGAACCGCCTGTTCACGTAACTGCTGTCACTTCACTTAACCCGCGTTAGTCATGATTTACCTTAGAATCTCCCCCCTGCATTCATTATCACTGGTCACTGACGTGTTAGGCTTTTGGAAGGGGAGAGAGCATGTAATACAACTGATTTGTTTTCAGCCTGGATGTCTAACTTATTTGGAATTTTCAGATAACATTGAAACAGGGCAGAAAGTAAGAGGATGAGAAGCACTGTTGTAGCATAACATCTCCAGTGGTTTCTTTTTAATTTAAATGTATTTTCAAATAAATATTCAATATCAATTTATATTTTTTGATTTTTTAATTGATTTTTAAAAGAGAGAAGAAGGGGGGCGGGGAGAGAAACATCAATTTATTTTTCCACTTACTTACGTTTTCATTGGTTGATTCTTACATATGCCCTGACCTAGGATTGAACCCTGTATCGGGTTGACACCTAACCAACTGAGCTACCCGGTCAAGGCTGTTATTATTTATTTTTAAATATAACTATAACTGTATGTAACAGCTCAAGTGTCCACCAATGGATAAAACGTGGTGTAAACATACCACGGAATATTGTCCATAACAAAGGATGGAGTACTAATATATGCTACATCATGGGTGAACCTTGAAAATAGTATGTTATGTATACACACACACACACACACACACACACTGCATGCAGAACAGGCAAATCTAGAGACAGAACATTCTAGTGTTTCCAGGGCAGAAAGAGGAGGGAATGAGGAAAGTGCTGTAGGTATGTGTGGGGTTTTGGTGGTGATGAAGATGTTCTGGAATTAGTGATGGTTGCAGAACTGTTCTTTAAAAGGGTATATTTTATGGTGTGTGAATTATATTTCTACTAGAGGCCCAGTGCACAGATTCATGCACATTGAAAATTAATTAATTAGAAGGTGTCCGGCAGAGCAGGACTGGGCGAAACAGGCCAGACACACCCTGGAGCCAACCTCCCATCATCCCTACCTGGCTGGCTGCACCTGGGCGGCGCCGGGGCTCGAAGGGCATCTGCAGACTGAGCAGGGTCCCTCCAGCAGGTGGGGTCTCTTGGCTTGGCCTGCAGGGATCGGGCCAAAACTGGCAGTCTAACATCCCCTGAGGGGTCCCAGAGTGTGAGAGGGCACTCTGCAAAGTTGCTGTCGCTCAGCAGCTGCTGCATTGAGCGCCTTCCCCCTGGTGGTCAGTGCGCATCGGAGAGAGAGAAATATTGATGTGAGAAACATTGATCGGTTGCCTTTTGTACATGCCCTGACCAGGGATCAAACCCACAACCCAGGTATGTGCCCTGACTGGGAATCGAACCGGCAACCATTTGGTGCACAAGATGATGCTCAACCAACTGAGCCACTCCGGCCAGGCCATATTGCCTTGTGTTGTGTGTGTGTGTGTGTATGTGTGTGTGTGTGTGTGTGTGTGTGTGTAAAGGCTATGGATGTGGAGGCAGGAGAGGTTTGAACTTTGAAACCTACCTGGAGTTTGAACTTAACATTTTCTTGATCATGGGCCCTGCCGAGGTTTTAAGGAGCTTTAGGTCGTCTCCCGTGAGAAGCGCACACGCATCTCTGCATGTGGTGTCAGGGCGTCACTGATCCCCCATCGAGACCACTGCAGACCCAGCTCACCATCCCTGTTGGGAGGTGAGCACGAGAAGCTGGGGGCCAAAGCCAGCTCGTTGGTCCTGACAACCCTCAAGCATCTTTTTTAGAAAGAAAAAGAAAAGGAAATATACTGCATCAATAAATTACCCTCAGAAGGTAGATTATCTAAAGATTTGATGGCGCAGCGAACTGCCTGGTCCCGGGCGCTTCAGCCATGCACTTGGGTGTTCCAGGCCCCCCAGGGGAAGTCCTAAACGCCACGGCCGCGAGGGACCAGGAGCCTTCCAAGCCAGAGCCCGTGGTGGGGGCAGCCCCACTCCTGCCCCGCCGGCCCGCGCCCAGAGTCCCTGCCATGAAGAAGCCGACCTTCAGGAGGACCGGGAAGGTAAGGGTGGCAGCAGCCGCCTCTCACCCCGCAGGTGCTCGAACGTCTGGTGAGATAAGGTCCCATCTCTGCTGAGTCTGTCTCTCCACAAACACTCCTGAGTCCCTGGACGGCCCCATCCTGGAGGAAGATGCTTGGCAATGGCTTTCTCCTCCATATCCCTGGCCCTGGCTGCGCGGAAAAGCCAGGGACTTCTTGCCACGCATGGAACAGCTTGGAGGCTGGGCCCCACAGCGAACCACGGGGGGGAGGCCCGATCCCACGTGTGCCCGGAACTCCCGTCTGTGTGTGGCCTGTGTCGTGCGTGCAGGGTTCGCGTGGACAGGTCTTTTTGCATTAGAAGAACAATGACCGGGGCCTGGCCACGCCGGCCTGGGGCGCGGGCCGCCCCCCCGC